GTATATTGTATATATAATATATAATACTTGAAAGCAAAAGCAACGTGTCGACTAGAGACTGAGAGTATTACGTAGTACAACAATTGCAAAGACTCTGTTCCGTTGCAGTTGCAGTTGCAGTTGTTGTCTACGTAATACCCTCAGCTCCTCTATTGCCTGCCTGCCTTCCTCCTCCCCCCTTCAAGCGACACATCTGCTTTAATCAGTTTATTTTTCTTCTCGTTGTTGTTGTTGGCTTTTGGTGTTATTGTTTTTGTTTTTATGAATTTTTATGCAAGTGTTGAGAAATTAATGTGCTCCCAGTTCGAGATGCCCAAATGCATGCCAATTTGCTTTTATTTATGGAGCCAACAACAACAACATCAACAACAACAACAACAACAGCAACAACAACATTGAATGGCGGTATTAAATTTTAGACGCTGCGAAAAACTTGGATAAACGGGATCCCCGTGCGAGCATGACGTATGTGTGACAGCTCTTTGATGATCATCATCCATTAGAAATTGCCCGGAACATTTGGGATGTGCGACACGGCCAAAGTTCAATAGCGCTATATAATCAATCTCTTGATACCAGACCAGGTTGCTACCCCATAGCTATACGTCACTTTTTAGCTATTTATAAGTACATATGTATGTATAGATTTTGTATTGAATTTTTGGTGTTGTTTTTTTTTTTTTTATGGATTTGTATTGTGACTAATGAATGTCGCGTTTTGACATCTTGTCACTTGGTTGATTTTTTTTTTTTTTTTCGTTTGCTTCCTAGACGCAGCTCTGACAACGTGTGAAATCGCATAGATGAACGAGCCATAGCTCCAATCCTAGGTATATAGGTAAAAGATCTACATCGATATACACATGTATGTGCATATGTATTTGTAGCCTAAAATATAAACGCCATAAAGTGTGCCGTTACTAATGATAACGGCAACACATGGCGCATGCTTCAACTCGCCGAGCGGTCCCACGCCTTAATACATATACATATATATGTATGTATATAATACGTAGTATGTGTACATATGTATAGTGTGAATTCATATATACACATAGTACGTGCACTCGTATATATGTATGTAGTCCCCTACCATATCTGGGATTCAAAAAAAGTAAATGTTGGAGTTTAATAATCGAGCAAACAATTCATTGATTAGATTAGTTCGTATGACTGTACCTTTTTTTAGCCATATACATACATATATATGTATTTTATTTACAGGCGTGGTCAGTATTGCGATTGGCATTTTAAACATTCTTTAGTAATATTCTTGAAAAACCTATTAATCATTCTCAGATAATATTACGAGTGGGGATAACGGGAATCGAACCAAAATATATATGTATGTATAAATAGGCAAAATTAAAGATTTATCGAATGTAAGCCAATTTGCTTTTCTATTTGCAGATCATTCTATTTTCTTGCTTTATTAAATAAATGTGATGCGTGTTATCTTAAAAAATTAAAAATCTGTATATAATCGAGATTATAGTAGGCATATGTATGTATGTCTGTTTATTTATATAGCAAAAAATAAAGTCTAATCAAATGTGCAACAATTTACATATATGTTTGGAGCTATTTCCTTCATTTGCTAATTTTATATGTATTATATATGTATGTACGTACTATCATATTTGATATACACATATTTGTTACCAAAATTGAGTTTTATATAGAAAGTGAGAGAAATGATGAAGCTAAAGTCAAACTGACTTAAACTCTCCAGTCAAACTCTAAAGGAAATTTTGTGCATATCAAAATTATCTGAAAATAAATATTTAAAGCATTGATTACTTTGGTAAAAAAAATATGCAGGTGCTCAGCTTAGATACCTGTTTGCAAAATAATTTGCCATGACAGATTGTTGACTTTTATTTGTCAACATTTACAGCTTATCGAATTGGAGGAACTCGTGCGTGAGTGTGAGTGTGGGCGCCCGTCTGTGTAAACGGTGCGATAGCAAYTCAACAACAACAAATTGACTCCATGCAGGCAGCGCAGCAACAGCCAGTCCAAGGCCCGCTGCATAAATAAGGTGTGCCTGTGTGGAAGTGTGTACACACTCTTTCGTTGGTTAACTGTAATTAAAACAATGGCACTTTTTGTTTACACAGCGAGCGAAACAGCTAGCGGGCTAGCGGATCATGAGCGTGGGAGTGAGAGGGCGAGAGCGCGTGAGATGTCGAGAGAGCGAACGACGTAAACAAAGGATAGAGGCACCAATTGCTGCCTATTGGCGGCCATTTTGTTGGCCCGCTCATTTCATCGTTAGCTAAGAAAATATCCATTTTTGCTTTCTTGTTAATTTAGATTTGGCTTTTTTATTGTTGTTGAAACTGTTTGCAGCATTTAAATGTTTATATATGTACATAGAGCAAAAAGGAAATGAGAATGAAAGGGGCAGAGATACAGATAGAGGGAGGGAGAGAGAGAGAGAGAGAGAGAGTGATACGAATAAAATAGAACACTTAGCAAACTTACACAATATTACAGTTTAATAACAATTCAAAGGCAATGCGAGCGCATTTGGTATGAAAGACTTGTAAAAAAAAAAAAAAAATTGTTGTTACATACTAGAATTTGTTTACAATTACGATACATTTTTGGCATACTTTTGAACTAGACACAAAACTGTCGCTTAATACTAGCAAAAAAAATATA